TTCGAAAAGCAGAAATAGTTTCTTTGCCATTACCACGTGATCATCTTTTTGTAAAGCCTCTTCGAAATGCGTTCAGTGTCCTCCTGGCGCTGATTTTCTCACGCTGTCGTCGTCTGCGGTTAACGTTATTGATTGTTCTTGTTTTTTTGCGCTGTCATTCTTACTCGCCGATCCGAGTTATGCAAAACACTATGCTCTTGCCTCATCTCTAGGGGTCATGCAACCGTGACTTCAAAGACAGCCATAATTCTGGATGTTGCCTGTCACTGGCGGTGACTATGCGATCCAGTTCATCGGTTGACTTGTAAAGTTAATTAGGTTGTTTTGATGGCGTTGTGATTACATTAATACGCTTCCTCGCTTGATTCCATTTTCGTTTCGATTCTTCAGTTCTCACCTAAGGCGGCAGGGTTTGGAATCGGTGTCAGAGACCATGTTTTACCTTTTTAATGCACGTCATGTTCGAAAACAGAATCATATTGTGACGTGCGGTGACGTACCGCAGTTACCGAGAAATGAACGTTTGGGAATCGCTGCATATCGGTTAACGTAATTAATTCGTTTATATAATATTATTACAGAATTTATTAGTTGAGGCTTCAAACTGAGGCGATAGATGGTAACACCGTTTTGGTGCTCATCAAGCTATTTGACAACGATGATCGTGTATGATTGATGTTTGGCCTAGATTTTCAATTCCATTCTTCAAACCCAACGGCTTTTCTCAATGCCTACCAATTAGGCAGATATTTTTTGTGATACGAAACGGAAAGTTTGTTTACCCTGTGATGTTGGCCCGTCTTACAATTTGTTTACAGCACCTTTCTATATTGCAGCTTATAGTATGGTGTTGGTCTTCATTTCGATATCATCAGCTCGGACTAGGGAACTTCGTTCATGCGTTTGTGATCGTGCTGAAATGCTGAATAGCTTATAAAACGGTTTATAAGTACACCGCGCAAAAGAAGAATATGGTCATTCAGATGATTGACCAATACCGATGATTTGACTCGTTTCTCACGAGCTTTTTTCAAGGTAGTAACCTGGTAGCGTTTTGGAGATTTTTGTTGTCTAGAGCGGTCGGTAGGTTTTGAGCAGGATGACAAGCTTTTAGTTTGTGCTGTATGTTAAATAGTATTACTACGACAGGGCAACATCCAATCCGCGCCGGGATTGTATCCGTTTTCCAGGACTGGAGGATTAATGCTTCCTTGACACTCATATGCAGCCAGTGTCTTTCTTTGATGATATCGGTACATTCTGGTCATCGAGGCGTGTCCTTGCTGTTCCACGTTCTGCGCGATCCCGGAGTTCCTTTCGCATTGTTCCTTGTCTTTGCCGACACACGGCTTTGTTTTTTTTCCAGGATCCATCATTTAAAAAAAACACTAGATATATAGGCGTGTCATGGACTCATTAATTATCCGCTCCTGTGACGGTGTCAACCGTGACAAAGGATACGAACTCTGCGCGGATCGGATAGGCTTTATCACCCCTGTATCGCCAAGAAAGTAGTTATCCAGCAGCAAACACTATAAGCTTACTTTTTGGCTGAAAACCAACCAACCGCTGCGGACAGCGAAAATTCTTCAAATCTCCTGATCTGAAGAAGGCTCTTAGGAAAGTGTACGAAACTCCGGCGACAGACGCGGCGACAGGATCTGTAGAAAGCAGGCCCATGGTACCTCATGCTGTATGCAGAGAAATATTGACCAGTGACAGCAGCAGAAGCAGTGGAATGTACAAAAACGGGTTCCTTGAAGAAGTAGCCTTTGGCTCAGCAAAGGCAGGCAGGAATATATCGCGGTCTTTTCAGCGGAGAGAAAAGATGTGCCAGCAAACCAGTGAATGCGGCAGGAGGCGTGTTGCCTCAAACCCAAGAATTCGAGTTTCATACTTCTTTCTATCAAGACAGTGGGAAAGACGACGGTGAATTATAAAATCAGCCATAGCGCTCGATTCAAATGGAGGGTGGTGCGCATCGAAGCATGAAGTAAAGTATTCAGAATGATTGCAAGACCATGAACAGATATGAGAAGCAGCTGAACTTCGTAGAAATACAAATACTCAGGTTGATGTACTTCACTTTCATGCGAAGTACTTTTGATGTAGCACCAAGTTGAAAAATCTGGTCGAAGGGAGACTTCGTTGGTTCAACGGCGTTATGGAAAGATTTGATGAGTGTGTTGGAAATAAGCTTGAAGCACCAATGCTGAAATAAAGGGAAGGAAAAGAAAAACCAAGAAAAACAGCAAGTTATCGTAACCAGCGACATGCAGCTGCTTGAAGTCACCTTAGATGTGGCCAAAGGCCAAAACTGTAAAAAGTCAGTTCACTCGAATACCGCATCGGTGTTAAAGGAAACACGAGTAAAGAAAGAAACAGCATTATCAAAAATTAGCATAATGATCATCATAAACAGTGATAACACTCACTAATGGGCTGCTGGACAATTGTCCTGGCTAGAGTCGATATTTGATGGGAAATTTAATTGACAAGAGGGTTGTAAAATCGATTGCACTCAAAGTAGGCGATATGACCACTAAACAGAAATTGGGCCGTTTTGCTTAGGGGAAAGAAATGTTGCCAATCTTCGCAAATCCACGATTCGTTACCAGTTACTGTTTTGGGACAAAAGGTAAGGAGTACCGTTGAAGGTGCCATCTTGTTTATAGAGGATATTTCATCACGTGGTTAACATGAGGGTGGGCATCTGAATGACCGTGACAAACCAATTCTGTTCGATTCTTTGACTTTTACCTGCTTCTCGATCATAAATTGTTTAGAAAAAGCTAAATCTTTTGAAAAAGTTGTTTTTTGTTTACGGAAGCGGTCTGCTGATCTAAGACCGTTTAAAGACAACAATAATTGATGACATTTCCTAAATGCGAATTTGCTTGCGATACCAGGATATGATCTCTATGTGATAAGTGACAAACATAGCTAAAAGATCGATCGATTTTTTGGTTTTTAAGTTTGTTAACTAACAGCGTTTCGATCAAACAACATTAGCCATTTTCAGGGCAAACAGAGTCTAAAATGAGCTTTCGAAATCACCCATGATCTCTGTGGCAACAGCGATAGCGCCTAATATGGATTTGGATCGCAGTTTCTAACCGGCCATACATCAGTTATCCAGGAAACAGTGCCACTTCGGCATTGTTCGCCTTAGATGAGGATGACAAACCAGATCCAAGGTATTCGTCGTAGCTTAGGCTTGTGAAGACATTCTATTATTTTTTTTATTTCACTGTTAGACTCTGTATTCAACGAGGTAGTGAAACGAACTTTGAGGAATTCGTACATATTCGT